TTTCATTCAGTCCCTCTGGCAACCATCGCTTGTTCTCTGTATCTATGAGCCTGTTTCTGTTGTGTTTGTTAATCTGTTTTGTTCTTTAGATTCCACGTGTCAGTGAGATCATATGGTTTTTGTCTTTCTCTGTATGACCCGGCGATTCTACTTGTGGGTATTTATCTGAAGAAAAATTCCAAAGCTCCTTTGAGAAGTTACATGCACCCCTACGTTCATTACCGAGACCTTTACAATAGCCAACACGCGGAAGCAACCTAAGTGCCCATCGTTAGACGAGTGGGTAAAAAGCCTGTGGGACACGCACACCACGGCCTATGGCTCTGCCAGGAACAAGAAGGGAATTACGCCTGTGGCGACAGCACGGTGGGCCCAGAGGGCACTGCGCTGCGTGAAATAAGGCGGCTCCTCTTACCTGTTCTGCTAAACCGGCTCTGACCCGCTCCTGTCCCCCCAGACAGCAGGGTCATCTTCGTCACCGCCTTCAGCTGCCTCGCCATCTTCCTCCTCTTCCCCTCGGTCATCCTCATCTACAAGCGCACTCAGCCCGGTGAGTCTGCCCGTTGAAACCTCTGGGGACGGGGAGTGAAGAGGAGGAGTCGCTCGTCAGATAAATTCCTCCCCCGTGTGTTGTTTTTGCAGGCTCATCCCATGAAGAATCCACCAAGAGGTAGATGTACTTGGCAGTCTCACGCTCCATCCATCAGAGACCCCATCACACAGACCCCATTGCTCATGCCCAGCCCCACCGCGTTCCCCCCTGGCAACTCCCTCTGTACGTCTGTGCTGTGACCTTCCTCCTCGCCTCTCCAAAACGCTTATCATCCCTCCAAAAATCTCCATATCCCGTATTTTTTTTATTTACTTATTTTTTGTTAATCCTCGCCCGAGGATATTTTTCCATTGATTTTTTTAGGGAGAGTGGAAGAGAGAGGGAAAGACAGAGAGAAAACATCGATGTGAGAGAAACACATGGATTGGTTGCCTCCTGCACGAGCCCGACCAGGGCCCTGGCCGGGGAGGAGCCTGCAACCAAGTGTGTGCCCTTGACCTGAATCAGACCCAGGACCCTTTGGTCTGCAGGCCGAGGCTCTGTCCACTGAGCCACACCGGCTAGGGCCATATCCCATATTTTAATGTGTGTTTCTCTCTCTCTCTCTCTCTCAGAGCTAGACATTCCATATTTCCCGAGGAGGAGGCCTCAGGTAAGTGATAAGAGAAAGACCCAGGAGAGAGTCGCTGGATAGAAAGATGACAATCGGACTCCTGCCGGCTGAGAACTGAGTCTCTGTGTTTGTTTTTTCCCTCGAGTGCAGATCTGCCCAAGCAGGAAAGGGCATCGCTCTCGCTCCCGGTGAGTTCTCCCCATCGGATTCCCCAGCAGCGCCCTCAGCCCCAGGCTGTCCTGCCTGCTTCCGGGCTCGGCCCGTGCTCTGGCTCCAAGGGTGCCCCAGCTCACACAGTTAGGAGGCCAGTGATCACCGTGTTTAAAAACATGTGCTATTTCCTGGCCGGGTGGCTTCGTTGGTGGGAGTGTCGTCCTGTACATCAAAAGGTTGTGGGTTCGATTCCCGATCAGGGCACATACCTGGGTTGCAGAGTTTTTCTTTCTTTTTTAAGCCCTCATCGGTTTGGCTCAGTGGATAGAGCCTCGGCCTGCGGACTCAAGGGTCCCAGGTTCGATTCCGGTCAAGGGCATGTACCTTGGTTGTGGGCACATACCCAGTAGGGAGTGTGCAGGAGGCAGCTGATCGATGTTTCTCTCTCATCGATGTTTCTAACTCTCTA